GTTACTTAAGGCATTTGCGCTGCCACTGGATTATACAGTTTTCTTTCTCACCCCAGAGCACCTTACCTTCTCATATCATTGTTCTTTACTTGTGGCTAAACCTTTCTGTTCTATTTGCCTAGTTGTAATCTAAATCTGAAAAAGGTTGGGGGGAGGGATGTCTGTAAAAATGCTTTTTCTTTCTGTGCCTGGGTTAAATGATGTTTATCTTTTGCCTCTTGTGGAAGCATTAAACATTACACTAATAAATAAATTATAAAAGAATATGGTCAGGGTTTTTGTGTGTGTATACCTCTCAATAAATAAAATTGTAGCCGCTCATTTAAGTAGAACTAAAAACCTATGCAACTAAACTGTTAGCAGTACAGAAGACTAAACCAAAATTAAGGACTACCACAGCATGAAAACTGGAAAAAAGAAACCAGTAGAGATAAAGATGAGGAGTTAAAAGCTTAGCTGACTTAAAGCAATTCAGTGTTAATGGAAACCAACTACTCTGATTTGTGCCAACAGAAGACCTGGCATTAAGTCCTGAAGTGCAATTGTTTTGCAGGGCTGCCCCCACTGTCTCTTTGGCGCCCTTGTTCCCGGCTCATCCAAACTGGGCATCACGGTAGGGCGTGCGGCACTTCTTCTGATCCTGGAGCCACATCTTGATATTAAACTGAGAGTCAAAACACCTGAATTTGGGAGCAGGAAAGCAGTTCTGACACTCACAGTTGAAACAATTTAAGCAGTACACAGAACAGCTTTATCTGACAAAGAATACAACTAAGAAGCCAACAAGTGACAAATTGGAATAAATAGTTAATATCAACATAGACATTCTGCTACAGTCAAGATGACTTTTGAGGAAAAAAGTTTAAACACAAATTACTTTCTTCAGTAGGAAATGTAATAAAGATTCTTAGATGAAGATTAAAACGTGTCTCTTTCTGTACACAAACCCTTTATTTCTGTACACAAGCAAGCACTCACAAAGCACAAGAGTACAGATTCACCTGTAACTGAAGAACGTGTATTTCTCCCCATACCTCTCAAAGCACTAAATATCAATGCTAAGCAGCATAGAGAATAGTATATATAATAGTGAGACACCAACACAGCTAATTCATTAATCATTAACCATGACTCATGGGCACCACCTCACATTAAAAATATTTTTGGAAGGTCTATTAACGTGGGTTGGAATCACATGAGCATAGAAGCACAGACTGTGGTATCAGAACCCTACCTGGTTCCACATACAATCAAATCCCAGAAGGGCAGGTTTCTGACTAATTTAAGCTTAATTCATCAAACACCTTCTATTTTTAAATAGCACTTTGAACAATTACCTGTTGGATAGTATTCTTCATTCCACCAGACTTACTTACTTACACCGGGCAAAGTCCCATCCAAGTTCACAAAACTCAATTTTTTTTTAATTTCAGGCCTACAAAACCCACGCCCAGTGTTTAATATTTTAACCTCAATATGTAGGTTAGTGAGGTAAGCAATAGGTAAGCAATCATCTGCTAATTAACATCTTGACAGCTCAGACACAAAAGTAGAATGTGTTGTCAGATCCCTCACAGACATAACATTAATTGGAACATGGCTAGGTCCCAGCAAAACACCTTATCTGGTGATTGTACACTGCACGTACTGCAAAAGAACGCTGTCCCATTCAGGTTAATTTCAGATACACATAGCAACAGGAAAAGAACGTTCAGTCTTTGGAGATGTTGCCATATGATAAATTCTAGGCCTTAGAACCAAACATCTGAAGAAATGACAAAAAAAAATTCAGCTTTGAAATTACTAATTTTTAAGACACACTTACAAAGAAAGCAGAATTCCATTCACCCACTTAAAACAGGTGAGGATAAAACCTTATGGTAAGTTATCTTCAAGAGTGTTTTAACAAAGAAAGTAATTCATTACTGGAATAGTAGTCACAATATAATTACTTCCATTACAGAGCATGTGTATTTAGTGGATACAAAATTAAAGAATTATGTATATGCAGTGTCAAGAATTAAGGCCAGACAGGTTAGCATACAGCTCCCACTTAACATCAAGCATCTTTAAGGCTCCCTGAGGAGGCTGC